AGCCGCGCTCCAAGTCGCCGTAGGCATTGCGCTTATCTTATCTAATGAAAACCTTGTCGCGCCATACGACAGCCAACTCGATTGGACACTGTAAGGTGCGCGAGCACAGTGTCAGCCCACACCCCGATATTTCGTTGACGAGTGCCAGTATTGTTACGCTGCCTACGTGCCGGGCACGCCCACGCGGCAGGCATCAGCACGGCGCCCTGCATCATCGCTTGGTCTTTGCACGATTGCCTGGCACTCGATGGTCCTGCAATGCGCCACGACCCAAGCAAAATACATGGCTCTGCACTGCGCCACGTGCACCATTTTGGGGGCTCTCTTGCCCAGCAACCAAATCTTGTGTTTTCCTCCGCACCTAAACACTCCTACCTTGAGTACATTAAAAAAGTCAAGTGCGCATCAACCTAGCACGCGTTAAGTACCCCAACGCGCAGAAGAAGCTCTCCGGCAGCCGCGTCAAGACGGACTGGGACAAGCGCGACAGCTACTCCAAGCGGCAGCAGGAGCGCTCATACCAGCAAGATCGCACCCAGTGACAGGACAACAACCGTGACTCTCGGCAAGATGGACGGAACAAGAAGTTCGACCGTGAGATCTACTCCATATTGGACTCATCAAGCGACGAGCAAAACGAGGCGTTCAGCGACGCCCACGAAATATCGGAAGCCGATATCGCCAATGTGGTTGTCGACGCTGACTAGGCCAAGTTTGAGAGGCAGCATGTCTGCAAGCGCTGCGGCACCCACTGGCCTACTGCGTCGAGATCGTCAACAAGGTCGAGGAACACCCACCGCGACGGTACTCGCCCGACTCTGCCTGGGAAGGCACGACAGTATCCCACCGGGGCGAGCAATCAACTCACCCTCTCCTACTAGTTCTACAAAAGGTAGATCAACTACAAGGTCTAACTGCACAAACGCTTCTAATTTGCAATAAACAAGCCGTCGAGGAGGCACTGTAACGTACTGTGCCCAAGAAGGGGTTCTCATTAGGAGATCTCGGGTTCAGGTCACTCAGCAGCTGCCACGGACCGGCCCAATGGAACCATGTAATCTACCAAGTAGACCTTAAAATTGAAGATGGAGAGGGAAAAAGGGAATCTACAAGATGCGTGTGCTCGTGCCCGCACTTGAGCACCAGGCGTTAGGGCACATGCACGGCTGAGTCAGCAGGACCTCACGCCAAGCAGCCTAGAGAAAGCGTGCGGGGCAGTGGTTGTTACGGCGCGGCGTGCCCTCCGTGCACTTGCAGCCTTGCCTCTCGTGTGCGTTGGGTGTATGAGACCCCTATCGCAATTAGAACAGCAGTTCTGATTGTCCTGGCTTTTTAGCAGAGATGGGAGGGGTCTCTCTTTGTCTAACCGCCGTGACATCGAGGCATAAATAGTATGTGCAGTTGCGGAAGTTCCAGACGGCTTTGCGCAGGCCCATCCCGGCCCCTTCTGCTTCGCCATCAAATACTTCGGCGGGGTGCGCTAGTCTGCCGTGTCCGGACAGTTTGCGTTGGCCGGCTTGGTGTATTACCCAGCCGTAACCAACTGCTCCGTCTTCCGCTTTGGATCCGTCGCTGTAAATTATAACGTCCGTAGGGGAGAGGGTGCTAAGCCACGCTATAAATGCTTTGGCGGCTGCTTGCTTTTCTTGTGTGGCCACCGTAAGCCCTGTATATTTACAAGGGAGGTAGGCCAGGCGAGTGCAGGCCGGGACCCAGTGTTCGCTAGGCGCGACCGGGCTGGTGCTGTTGGTCCATGCGCCTCGGCAAGATATTTTTGTCCAATAAGAACTGGAACTGGCATTGGGCAGCAGCGAGCCTGGACGACACTGAAAGCGGGGTTGCGGCTCCGACCGCAGGTGGCAGACACCACACCTGGGATTGTTATTCAATACCAGCAGTGCCCTGCAATCCACTTCCCAGCCCCAACCCAGTTACTCAGTCCGATACGCCGGGTTTATTTATCCTTTCTGACCTTCCCACTTCGGTTGTGGAGCTTACGTTGCTGTATCGGGAACCACCGTCGTCGTTGCGCCCCGCCCCGCGTTATGTCGCCCTTCGGGCGGAAGAAGCCTAGCGAGGAGGCTTCCTCGAGCTCTGAAAAGCGGCCCAGTCGCTTGAAATTCTGGCACAAACCGAAACTGGGCGGTCCAGGCAAGGCCGCGCCTGCCAAGGATAACTACGAACTAGACAATGGGATCATCATTCCCGAACCCTCTAGTTCGTTTCGAGTTACCGACGAACCCAAGTTACCGAGTGCTCCAAGGCCAGCACCTCCCGAATTGTCCCCAACGAGCAATAACAAGGATGGCGGAACGACGGCGACGAACTCGGAATCTTTGTGGGATCTGGCGTACGAAGCCCTTCGGAAAGAGAAGCCAGAAGTAGTGCAGGCTTACGAGGAACTGCTGTCCAAGATGTCGTTTTACCTAGCGAACACATCTTCCACGACCGACCTAAACGACGTCCTATCCAAAGCGTCCAATGATCCTACAAACACGCCCCTTGCTTCCAACACCAAAACAGCAGAACGCGAAGCACAAAGCGTTATAAATCCACAGAAGACGATGTCGGATGTCATCGACCTGGGCCTAAAACACATGGAAGGGAAGCAAATTGCCTTCAAGATCGGACAGCAGAAGTTCGTGCTCCAAGATCAAATGCAGCATGTTGTCGCCGGCATCCAGCTAGGAAAGGACTGGATTGATGATGCAGTGCAGGCCAGTCCGCTGGCAGGCGCGGCTTGGGCCGGCGTTTGCTTGCTTTTGCCCCTCCTAACCAACCCAAGCGAAGTGCAAAGAGCCAACGAAGAGGGCCTCGCCTACGTCAACCAAAAAATCCGGTACTACACAGCCATGGAGTCGCTTTCCCTACGCGGGGAGGACGATGATGTGGAGCGGGTGTACCGAAGCCGTCTCGTCGAGCTCTATCAGGCGATTATAGACTTCCAAGCCCAGAGTGTTTTGCGGTTCTTCAGGCGCAGATTCGCCAACTTCCTGAGAGATGCTGTGAAATGGGATTCATGGGAGGACATGCTCGAAAAGATCAAAGAGCTGGGACGCAATGTCGAGAATGAATCCCTGCAGATCAATGCCGCTTCGAGCAGAGCAGCACTGGGCAAGCTTGTTCAGTGGGCGAAGGAGTCGGAGGAAGATAAGTGCCTGCAGAGCTTGAGGCGTGGAGACTATGCTTGGTACAAAGACCGCGTCCAAGACCGCGTGTCAGATACGTGTCTTTGGTTCCTGAACCACGACAGCTACCAGTCTTGGTTGACAGCCGATTCTGGTCCACTGCTAGTTTCGGCCGATCCAGGGTGTGGCAAGTCCGTCCTCGCCAGATATCTTATCGACTCCAGGCTCGGCTTCAGATTGCCCAAGAACGCTGCGATATGCTACTTCTTCTTCAAGGACCAGGACCAAAACACAATCGAATTGGCTCTCTGTGCCCTAGTCCATCAACTGCTTTGCCTGCGCCCCAAGTTGATGCGCCATGCCCTGCCCAGGTACAAGCAGGACGGAGCGGGGCTCGCCAACAATGTTACCGCGCTCTGGGATATCCTCGAGAGCGCCACCGCAGATCCCGAAGCCGGAACCGTCGTCATTGTCCTCGACGCCCTGGACGAGTGCCTTCAAAACGAACATAACATGGAGACCTTGTCACGGTACATCCATGGCCATTTCGGAAAACGTCCAGGAAACCTGAAGATCCTCATGACTAGTCGGCCTTATGAAGGTACGATCCAGCACATTCAGGACCTCGAGAAGTCATTTCCCAACATCCGAATCAAGGGCGAAGATGACTCGGAAATCATTCGCGAAGAGATCAATTCGGTCATCGGGTACCGAGTTAGCCGGATGGACAAGTTTAGTGACGAACTCAAGACACACATCAGAGCCCGTCTTATGAGCATCACTCACCGCACATACCTCTGGCTGTACCTCGTATTCGAGCATTTGAAGCGCCCCGATGTCAAACAGACCGTTTTAGGACTTGACAGATCGTTACTTAAAGATCTGCCCAAGACGGTGGACGAGGCGTACGAGAAGATCCTGAGCCGATCCACCGCGCCACAGCAAACCCGAAAGGCCATCCTAATCCTCCTCGGCGCATACCGCCCTCTCAAGCTTCACGAGGTGCAGATCGCAGTCGAGCTGGCCCCGGACGCTGCCTGCCCGGGAAGCCTTGATCTGGAACCCGACCAAAAATTCAAGCAGCGTCTCCGAGCGTGGTGTGGGCTGTTCGTCACGGTGCATGACGACAAGGTCTACTTCCTCCATCAAACGGCGAGGGAGTTTCTCCTCCCTCTCGCTATGTCCTTGCCGGGCCCGACTACTCTCACAAAATGGGCGCATACGTTCAGCATTCGCCAAGCACACGAGGCTCTTGCGGAATCTTGCACGGTCTATCTTGACCTCCGAACGGATGTAAACATGGAAGCCGACTTCTTAGATTATTCTGCCAAAAATTGGGGTGCTCATTTCCGCGAGGCTAGTATCGTCGATGGTGCTGCTATTATACCTTTCGCCTTAAGGGTTTGTGATCCAAATTCGAAGTGCCATTCGGCGTGGTTCGATATCTATTGGCAGTCAGAGATGCGGAGCTCCTACGGCAATTTTACAAATCTTATCATAGCGTCGCATTTTGGGCACGAGGCCGTGGTCAAGCTGCTGCTCGGCACAGGCAAGGTCGACGTCGACAGCAAGGACAAGAACGGGCACACGCCGCTGTCGTGGGCCGCGGTGAACGGGCACGAGGCCGTGGTCAAGCTGCTGCTCGATACAGGCAAGGTCGACGTCGACAGCAAGGACAAGTACGGGCAGACGCCGCTGTGGTGGGCCGCGGCGCACGGGCACGAGGCCGTGGTCAAGCTGCTGCTCGATACAGGCAAGGTCGACGTCGACAGCAAGGACAAGTACGGGCAGACGCCGCTGTCGTGGGCCGCGGAGAATGGGCACGAGGCCGTGGTCAAGCTGCTGCTCGATACAGGCAAGGTCGACGTCGACAGCAAGGACAACAACGGGCAGACGCCGCTGTCGTGGGCCGCGGAGAATGGGCACGAGGCCGTGGTCAAGCTGCTGCTCGATACAGGCAAGGTCGACGTCGACAGCAAGGACAACAACGGGCAGACGCCGCTGTCGTGGGCCGCGGCGGGCGGGCGACGAGGCC